AAAAAATTTGTTGTTTATCTGTATTTTGTTGCAAAAATGAATATTCCTGCAGTATAAAAGGTGTTGTTAAACACATACATTTCTATAAAATGCCAATCTAGGAACAGAAAGTAAACATATTCCCATTTTGATGACTTTATCTGATGATAATTATAATTTTGGACATTAAAATGCCCTTTTCCCTCAACTGAGCCTGCCTCTGTGTTACTGAATAGTGTTGTCACGGGAACAAGTGATTTCATGTTTTTATTCTATATGCACATTATTTTTTACACATTATAGACAACTGATGTTACTTAAATCTGACATTTTTTATTTTAAACCAAAGATCAAACCAGTTTTTTTTTTTCCATCAGTAGTTTCTAATTTAATAAATACAAAAGTTGGCATTATATTTTAAGGCAAATCAGTGTTTCTCTACATGCTGTTTAAGAGTTACATTATAATAATGTGTATAGTCTGGATTATGCAATGATAATATGGCATGTATTTTCTCAAATAAAATAGATAGATAAATAAAGAGTACATTTATTGCAGTAATGCTAAAAAAAAAAACATCAGGCCTGCACAGGATGTCTGACAGGTGCCATAAGAAGGAAGCTTTAGATAATAATAATGTTTTCTAACATGGTGGGGTTATATGAGAAGGGTTTATGTAAAAATGGGCCTATTGTGTCATCAGTTAAATATTGACAGTTTTTCATACTAATCTGTTTTATTTTGTTTGTTTTTTTTACCTTCCACGCATCGTCTTCTCCATATGGTTTCTGTTTTGAGGATTTGTCTAAATTTCTTGCAAACCAGTGCGACGTTAGGTAACACTGTTCCTGGAAGCAAGGAAAATATTTCCACCAGGAGCTCCGGCGGTAGTTCAATTAATGACTCTGGGTGTAGAGGTTTCGTGTTCGATTCTCCTCTGTTGACATGGCCGCTGCCATATTCACAAGCGTCACTTGGCCCTGCAGTCGCGGCGTCCGCGGCAGCGACTCGCCCGGGGCCTCCGCTGCTCCCTGCTTCGCTTCTCCGCTGGCCTACGATTCGCTCTTCTTCTTCCTCTTCCATATCAGAATCGCTGCCTTGGTCCTGCTGGTCGTTCCTCTGTCGTCTCCGGCGGCACCTTCGAGACTGTCCGACTCCGCAAAGCCTGGCACAAACAGCCATCCGTAGTCAACAAACGGCTAAATTACATCACTACAACACATATATCAGCTGCGGTCATATCTTCCTGTCCTCGCGAGCATGAGCAGGGTTATCAGCTGACGTCACACCTGCTCCCTGTAGGAGGTGTATGGCAGGACATTATATCATAAAACAGTAACTCCGACTTTACAAAGATAATTAATTGTTTATCCTGTTTTGCGAAACTGTTTTCCATCTAACATTTTCCTTTACATTTACTTTTGATACAACTGCATGTGAAAAACCTGTTAAGCTTGTCTGCAAACTTGGTGTATCTGTCTGCGGCCCTGCTGGTGCTGTTGCCCTGCCCAAAGCCCCTACACAGCTCTCTGATGTTATTTTGTTCCTCTATTTTCCTCTTTGCTGCCCTGATCCTCCATTGGAGCTCTCACTGGACTATAAGCTGCTCTTCTCTGTCTCCTGAGATTTTTGGTTCAGGAGGACTTTCAGCTCAGGAGTAACCCAGGGGTGGTTGTTTGGGTCGTCGTGTGGGCACCATGCTCTCCGCACAGAAGGTCATGTAGTCAGTCATACATTCAGTCAGGCTGCTGATGTCATCACCATGAAAGTTTTGGAACATGCTCCAGTCTGTGGTTCTAAAACAGTCCCTCAGTTTCTTAGTGGCCTCATCTCACTAAACTTTCATAGACTTCTTCTTCACTGTTGTCCTTCTCACCATTGGTAGTGGGGGAGCATGTAGACTATGTTGTGATCTGAGTGTCCTAGTGGGGGGCGGAGGTGTGCTGGGAGCATGCTGGATGAATCTGCAGCTCATTGACCAAACCCAGATGGTGTATCGACCATACTCGGTATGTTTAAGCTAATTTCTATTACCGCTAAATTCTGGAAACATTCTGCTCTGTGAAGAATCAAAACTTCACAGACACTAGGAAGGAATTAGTTCTGAGTGGACTGTAAATATTAATTTGGAGATATTTTTCATACAGGATTATGGATTTGGAAATTATTTGCAAATTATGAAAAAAAATGCATATTTTAGGTGTTAAAGTAACTAACTAACAGAAAGCTACACTGTATGTGTGTGTGTGCCTCATATATATATTGATTTTTTTGTGCCTTATACTACCAAGAATGATAATCTTCAATGTTATAACACCATCAAATAACATTCAAAATAAGACTATCTGAAAGAAATTTGGGGTATGCCTTAACAACCTGGTGCTTATTTTTTAAGGATAGAAGTACATTTTAAACTATTCTTTGAAACAAAAAATTATTTAGAAGCTGTTTTTTTATTTTTATAAGACCATACTTCTTTGTTTTGTTAATTTTCCATGCCGACTTAACTTTTAATATTTCTCTCTCTTGATCACTAATCTCGTGTGTTGGAACGGCAACCACATGTGTGAATGTTATCTAAGACAAAAACTGTGTCAGATTTATATATATATATATAAATAAAAAAGAGCATTCGAGCCAGCCAGGAGTCGAACCTAGAATCTTCTGATCCGTAGTCAGACGCGTTATCCATTGCGCCACTGGCCCGAGCCGAAAAAGCATGCGCTCCGTACTCTTTTTAAACACCCCAGCCAATCATGTTCCACGTAACAATGGACCGGCCAATCTGAGAACAGGCTCACAATGGATGTCAGCCACTCACGGTGAGGCATTTTACATAAGGGCTCTGTTCGAAAACCTAGGACGTATCCTCCAAGGACGCGATCTACCTAGACTGGATCCTTCGAAGTCCTTGAAAATAAGGAGACCGGAAGAGTTTTGGCTGTGAATTTGACGAGGTCTACCCTTCGGCGGGTTTTACCGCCGTATGCTCTGTTGCTTAGCAACCGTGAACGTTGACACACAAAGCAGGAAAAGAATGAATACAGAAGTTTTCAAAACTGTTTGTTTATTTATTTATTTTTTTATTGTGAAGTGAACAAAGACTATACTCACAAGAATCCAGAATGGAATAAATGTTCCAACCACCGGGAGCAGGAACAAATAAAATCAAATATAATGATAGAAACCTTAGTCAGTTAAATAAAATGCAGCTGTCATTCTGCACATCTCTGATGTTGCTACTATTTTCAAATATCTATTACTGTAAAAATGTCCATAGCTGCATATTGGTTATTTATTCCCCAGTTTTATATTGTTAAAACACTTTACAGTATTTTATTGTTTATATTTTAACTCTTCTAAGGTCCACATTTGTGTGACCATTTTCAATAATCTTTCTGCTGCTGTAAATTTGCCCATTGTGGGACAATAAAGGGATTTTCTATTCTATTCTATAAAAGGGTTAGAAATATATAAGTAAATCTAAGCAATGTATTTATAAAAAATATATCTGCAAAATCTCTAATTTTCAACAACAAAAAATACGTAGTTAAGCATATTGTGCAAAACAGCAATAAAAAGATAAAAATCCTACCAGATTTATAGTCCCCACCCTGCAAATATATTAGAATCTGTCCTTAAATTATAGCCAAACCCATTTACACAGTAACAGATTAAAACCTTTAGATAAATCAAACTTTACTGCCACATATCACACTCAATAACCATTAAAACAACTATTTTTCATTAATCTCAGACGGAACTATTAAATGACTTGTATTATATTAAACTGAACTTCCAATTTTCACCACTGTTCGGCGCCAAGTAATCTTTCCTCTGATCACAGCTTGCTTGGTCTCGCAATGAATCCTGGGATATCCAAGAATACCGAGGATACATCAGACTTGTCCTTCAAATCGGGCAAAAAGAAGGACGCATTTTAAGGCCGCATAACGAGGACTCTTGGAATCCGACCAGACCTCGGCGCCGCGCTATGACGTAATCGGCCTTCGAATCCGGTCTTCTAAGGATGCGTACTAGGTTTTCGAACAGAGCAAATGTTTCACAATGGTGCCCCACAGAATCACAGAACCGTATAAATTATATCTATATCCTGTTTCTACGGCTTTACAAAAAGCCGCATGATTATTGAAATATGACTATTCAGCCTTTCTACTTTAAAAAGGAGACTCATTCTTTTGAAAGTTTGTAAGTATCTAAAACTATACTTTGGAAAGGTATAATAGGTATCAATAGTCTGTAATGATATCTCTACTATTAAAAATATCATCTAAAATATAATATAAATTTTTTATATCCAAATTTATCATTATGACTACTATTAACTGGATTACAGCGACCTGATAGCCTCGTCAGAATTCAGTTTTAGATATCCGGAATATTCATTTTAGGTAGCAAAAATGTTGCTTTAGATATTTGGAAGTGAAAGCCGAAGTTGGGAATTGCAATGCCATTTGTGTCAGAAATACATTATATTTGAAATTATTATTTTTAGCTTGGAAGAATGTTATTTTAGATGTCTGAAATGTTCATTTTGACTTGGAAGAAATTCATTTGAATCTGAAATATATATATGAAATATGTATTGAGTCTGGCTAATGAATGTCAAAATGGCTACTTAAAACTTGCAAAGATTCCAAGGTATCTGAAACTTTATTATTGTACAGTCATATTTATTTTGCATGTTGAAATACCGCTTATGCAGCAAACATTTTATTTAGGATATCGACATTTATAGTTCTAACCAGTAGGAAAGTAGATTTGACGAGGAAGAATCCTATTTTAGTGATCTACTAATGTAACAACAGAGAACAGCGCTCACAATAAATGTCAAGACGACCTGCCATATAGCCACATAAGGAGTTTCGGCGCACTACCATTGATACTGTATTGGTTTGTTGCTCTCTACTGACACCTGCTGGATCTTAAACAACATCGCATCAGACACAGACCCGACGACTTCGTTTGAATAGTAACTTAATCATTGCATGGTATGCTGTATTATTTTATTTCTACATCTTTATAATGTAAGTTTGAAATATATTTTAAGTATACCGTCAATGATGTGAGGTGTCATAATGAAAAAAATTTAAATGAAAGTTTGATGTTGCTTATGGACTTGCCATTGATGCAGTGCCCCCTGTAGAACAGCTCCTGGCCCCTCTTATGGCCCCTTTAATGAAGATATAGGACTAAAAAAATGAAATAAATTATATATATGTATATATATATATATATATATATATATATATATATATATATATATATATATATATATATATATTCATTCCGTACCTCACAGTAGGTCTAAACCATCTCATTAAATACAAAACAGAAAAAGAGCAAAAGACATGAAAACATAAATGTTGGTCTTCCTTACAGTCACATAACGTTTAATTTGCAGCAAACTATTACAAATACATTAGACATTTTTTTCTTTCTTCAAAAAGACACTTTATATGGATCGTGAAATAAATAATATGAAGAAAATAGAAAAGATGTTTAGAAATTCATGTACAGTAGGGTGAAAAAGCTGAATAAGCAACCAGGAAGGTAGGCATATTCATTACTTTTTTAGCCATTATTGTTCAAAAAATATTAAATTCAAACATACACACTATTTTTAACGCAAAACAGCAATAAAAACAGCAGAAATTGTCTGAGCAGCTAAAATAAGCTCATCTTTAACTTGCCTGTCGACCAAATGTTAAGAGCGCCCCCTACAGGCCGCTGAGGGGAGCAGGTAGCAGCGCAGCCTCCATCTCTCGCGAGGAACGACGCCGTTATCGGAATCTCTACAAACAACACGAGAATTCGTCATTCACACGGTAATATAACCCAATCTTACACGGTGTGTGTGGCTGTGTGAGAGCCATGGACAGAGATGCCGAGTTGAAATAATATTTATTTGCCGTTTTTAAGTTTCTAGAATTTTTGCTTTGCACCGAATAGGCCTTTAGGCCCAATAGCATGCTAACTACTTAGCTAGCCTATACAGGCGTTTCAGTCCTTTAGCGTTGATATTCGCAAGGAAGCGCCTAAAAAGGACTGGGGAGCTCCTGCTAACATTAGCCGCTAGCTACATGCCTATTTTGAGCCTTGATAGAAAATGCAGACACTGCAACATTGGCAGAATTAACGTAGTTATCGAATCAGCTTTACACAAGCTAGGCATGTTATTTTCCGCCCATACGTCTAAAGATGTGTCTGTTTGGTTGTAGATGCAGCCTGTTAGCTCCAACGTCGCTACAGGCGTAAAACCACAATATCTCAAAATATCTCTTTTTAAATATAGATGGTGAGAGCTAAAGCTGTTTGCTACAGGATGCAATATGTTATTGGCTTGGTTCGAACAGTCGGCAGTAACAACGGCTATCATCATGATCAAAAACTGCTAATAAACCATGTACACAAATTGATTACAATGTATTTTGGATAGTTTGCAAACATATTGGAGTGCATATTTACTGATTGTGGGTCTGTGTGTATGCATAGATCTTTAAACTGGATTTCCTTTATTAATTCACAATTAAAACCTAATATAAAACAGTTAATTTATGAAAAAAAAAAAGAAGTAAGGATTAAGTAGGTTTTCTCTTTATCAGAATTAGGATTTTTTAATGCTATATTTATAATATGCTGGCCTGGCATACCTCTTATTATAATTAATAATTAGGTCAAAACCTTTATTATCTTCCTTTGTTAAGTTGTTGTCCTTGATCATAATTTTCCAAAGGTAAGAGCCAAGCTAGGTGAATAAGCTGCATTTATTAAATAATTTGATTCCATTTTGAATCAAGTTATTTAATAAAATTCCTTGAATATGGACTTAAAGTTTAGTTCCAGGAACACAAATGTTTAAAAAAATCTTTTAACAGCAGGATCATTTATTAAAACTTTTTTTTTTTTTTACTTTATTAACTTTTTTGGTGGTTATTGTACTGCATGCATTATCAGCAACCTTATATTAACACTTTAACTTCTCTGAAAGGCATTATCTAATATCCGCTCTCACCACATGCTCATCCAGGAGGAGCATCCTGCAAGTCTCCCTCTGATAGAAAACTTTTTGCCAATCCAACTGTATGATCTGATTGAAGATGAGCTCCTCAATATCTGGGCTACAGAGAAAAATCTTCACAGTTACATGTCCTGGGTGCCTTTGTCTGTTGTTCATAAGCACTGCCAACCCACCTCTGTTGAGCTTCCCAGCCTACTTTATATATCTGTCTTCTTTTATAGTTAGGTCTCTTGTTACCCATCATTATTCATGGAAGAGATGGTTTGAATTTCCTGCTCTGCATCCTTGGCACCTCCTGGTCAACTCAGCTGGCACTTGCAGAAATAGTCGAAGTACCTCAGTTATAAATGTTTAAAAAGGAAAAAAATATCAGCAAAAATCCTCCCAGTTCACAGCTTCAAAACCAGAGGCAAAGAAACTGCTAAAACAAACCTGATCCAAAAACAAAGGAAATAAAATTCTTTACAAAAGTTACATCGATATTAAGCTATTTGAGCTACTCCTACAGAAATGCAACTCTACCATCCTTATATACTTATATATTCCTAATATATGAATTTGGTTAATTATTACATATATAATTCAGTTTAGTTCAGTTTATTTCTATAGTTCCAATTCACAACACATGCACTTTACAGTTCACCAGATCATACAGTAAAATTGATTTAAAGTTTTCTATCTAAGGAAAATCAGTTGATTGCATCGACTCATTGACTTGAATGCAGTCCCTCACACTAAGCATGCTTGTAACGACAGTGGAGAGAAAAAACTCCCTTTTACATGTAATAAAATATTACTCATAAATTTACTGTTACATCAGTTTTATAAACCGCCACAACTTTCAATCTAAAAAAATCTTCCAAACAATCTTTTTGCATGTCGCTCATTTTAAGCCGCTTTGGTTGCCATAGTATTAGAAAAACCTACAGGCGAGAGGCTTTAGCCATCCGTCGTTGCCAAGTGTGGCACCTCACTCTGTTTTTACTCTAAATCCTTAATACAGCTGTGTTATGTTATTAAAGAAAATTTTCCGCATTTGAAATATGCCTTGGATGTTGGTTTCATGTCAGATCTGTATATAGAATATTTAATGATTGACAGTAGTGTAAAGGATCTTTTCAACTGAATTGTACCAGTAATGTTTTTAAAGGGCCAATATCATGCAAAATCAACTTTTTAAAACTTTAAGCAATGTTATGATACTATTCTTCCATCAAAATCCTATTAATCCTTTTGAAATTTGCTCATTGATAAAAATGACACAAAGCAATAAATGATCCACAAGTCTAAGTTTGAAAAAAAAGAAACATTTAATAACACAAGACATTGTCTAGCAAATGGAGGTAGCTGCAATGCATGCCTCTCAGTGGCCTCAAGACATGGCTCCTGAATGCACTGATGAATCTGTGAACTCATGAATCTATCGGCCAATGCAAAACAAAACAAAACAAACAAAAATATGCTAATATCAGCCTTTTGATGTGTAGTTCAATCTTTACCCTGCAGCAGCTGTTGAAACTTTTTAATCTCCCCACTGCTGATTGTCGGTTCTGTAATCCAACCTCTTTTTTTTTTTTTTTTTTTATGTTGCTGATTTGATAGTTAATTTAAAGGTGGGAGAAATACCTCCCAAAAAGGCCAAGAGCGAGTTGTTTTCAAGTTGTTGAAAACAGTTAAGGATCTGTAGCTAAGCTGTTTATGCAGGTCGTATTGTATGTTTTTAGGATTTGTAGATGTCCAGATAAAACAATGCTGCTAGAAGGGAGTTCTGCTTACTCCATAAGTGGTCATTTGGTGTCTCCCTGGATGGATGATGGCTAACAGATTGTTTAATGCAGACTACAGTTGTCATAAACCTTTTATAGGTCCCATGCTGCACATGTATCTTTGTTGTTTTGTTTCAAACAGGAAATGATTAGAGAAGGGATAGGAAACGTACCTAAACTCTTGGATCGATCCGCCTTTACACGTGGGGCCCACTCCACCGCTGCTCCAAAAGCCGCCCCACACATCGCCAAAGTGTTTATGTTGTTAGAAGTGTGCATTGCCTTGCAAACGTCAATTCCGACATACCACTGACAATTTATAATGATAAATCTGCAAACTTAAAAGTATTTTAATTGGATGTATTTGATAGATCTACACAAAGTAGAAAATAATTATAAAGTGGATGGAAAATAATAAATGGTTTCTAAAGGTTTTTAAAAGCAAAAAATAAAAAAACCTGGTGTGTAATTGTTTCATTATACTACAGCAAGCTGTTTATTAAGGCTGTCTAATAAACCTTTATTCAATTTATACTTAGATTAAACTAAATTATATTAAGTTTAAGAAGTAGATTAATTAGATTAGATTTTTTTAATGAGTATTAAATTAAAGAACTGGAAAGAAAGTTTTCAAACTTTATTCATTAAAACATTTTAAATTCATATATTTTTTCCATCAACTTCATAATTATGTTCCCCTTCATTACACAAATCCCTTCACCAATGGATTAGAGTTTTAGTTTCAAATATACAAAGTTGCGAACAGATTTGAATGCTTATGGAAGGCATTTTTTTCTGCAGCTAAGATAGCCCAGGATGGACGTCAGTGTCAGGATGTGATGCGGCCAAAATAACATGGAAGTAGTTAAAGGACTTTAAATCTGAGGTCTGATTAATCATCAGATATTAGAGAAGATACCAACTGTGGAAAGTGAAATCAACATGCTGATGTTAATGAATGTTTTCCTGCTGTCTTGTATTCAGCAGTGAAGAATGTCTGGACAGGAGCTGGATGAAATAGTTCAAATAACAGTGGAGGATTTTCAGCCGGATGGTCGTAACGGTAAGATTATTAACTGAGGACACCCTCTCTCTTTGTAAACTAATTAAATCTATTTTTTCTGTTTGATAGCCTTAGAGCTAATTTATTCCTTCTAAATTTAGTTAGATGCTAACACAGCTTTGGTTGAGCATGCTGAACAGATCTACCTTGAACAGATCTACCTTGTAAATCCCCTGACATTTTCTGTTTGCTTTATTGTAGATTTGTTAGACAATAATGGAGACAGTGAGGAAAGACCACAGAAGAAAAAGAGGAAACTAAGCAGCAGCCAGGACAACAACAACAACAACAGCAACAACAATAACCAGGAACTCTCTTTTATTAAGGTATTAGTTCTCTATACCAATCAGCTCTTAGCATATTCAGACATTATTTTTCACTTTCCACTTTAATTGTTTTTCTATTTTTTTAATTATTTTCCCAGAATCTTTTGGTTTCTTTGACTGAATCCATTAACCAGCGGCTGGAAGCAATCGAGTCAAAGCTGCAGTCCCTAGACTCCACCTGCAAAGTCCTTGTCCGCAAACTTGACAGCGTGGCTCCGTGTGCAAAGAGCCCGGTGCAGGTTCCGATGGTTGCAGGTTCCCCACAGGGGGCCACTCAAACTTGGAACAAAGTTCGATGGTAAGCTGCGATTGGTCTCTCAGCTTGGGGTCGCAGTTTTTAAAACCTGCTCGGCACTGATCGGCTTCAATCTTCTTTTTCAGCGTTGTCCCGCAAACCAATGTGATAGTTAGCAGGGAACAACCAAAGGCTTTAAACCAGGAAGACAATCCACTCGAAAACCTGCTCAGCAAGTAAGCAGCTACCTTTCATATCGACCTCTAAGGAAGATGCCAGCTCCTATTTCTTAGTTAATGTCTTTCTCAGATTTGGCAAATCATTTTAGCTCATATATCCAGAGGTTTGCTGTCAGTAGAAAATCTGCCTGCTCAGCACAGTTTTCTTTGAAAGCATTTTCATGCTAATAGATATAAAATACATAACAGCTGTTTTTTTAATATTTTAAGAGCAGTGTTTCTAGGGAATCCTCCTTTATTAGTGACATCCCCCAGATGTGATCAGATGAAACAAAGGCTTCGCTATTTATTGACAAAGACCATGTTTGTTTAGGTGAAGTTTAGCAGCAGCACGGTTAAACCTGTAGGGTTGTCCACGGGCGATCACTCCACTTAAAACTGTTTGATCAAACGGAAAAAGAACATTTTGCTGACTTCAAATTAATTCAAAGTCCAATCGGATGAATTTTTGCTTGACTTTGCTTAAAAGCCAAGGCTGTTTAAGGAAACTAGTCAGTTCAAATAAGCTTTAGCTAATCTGCAAAGAAAAAAGTTCAATATACATCCATGATTCTGCATTTTAAATGTAAATGAACGCACTCTCTATTGTAGCTTTTCAAAACTTTTGTTGCTTTTGCAATGAAAAGCACTTTTTAAAAGTATTTTGTTTAAAAGCCCCTATTTAATATGGCAGTCATCCCCATGCAGAGTTCTTTAAACCAGGAACAACCAGAACATGTAAGTGGGATAAATACAGTATTTGGGTTTTGCAGCACAGTGGCCAGGAGGCGACAGAACACCATCCTGGTTAAAGTGCCGGGCGCTGACGAGAGTCAAGAGGAACAAGACAGCGGCTCCGAGGCCAGCGACTCTGTTTCTAATAGTGGTCATTCAAGCGGTGCACAAAATGGCCAAAATGTCACGCTGATCACCCTTAATGCAGAAGGTAAGACGCAGCAACTAGAGATATCTAATCTAAGGTAGTGATTTCAATGAATAGCTAGATTAGGCAGAAGTCAGGATTATTTTTATGTTCAGATGCAGAAAGTATAATAAGTTTCTCAAAAATAAGCATAACTGTGGTTCCCAGAGGTGGTTTAAATTAGAAGGATGAAAAAATACTTTGGCCGGCTCGACTCAAACTATTTTTTTTCATCGAGTAAGCAAGCGAAATAAACATATTAATCATATTAATTCATCATGATATTTTAATTATATCATCTTTTGGGTTTTGTTGGTTTATAAGGGCCTGCATTATTACAAAATTATCCTCTTTTAGCAGGAAAAGCAACATGCAAAATCCACCACAGTAGATGCAAGTGGCTGTCGTTCATTTTTCATAACTTGTTTTCAGGGTTTTGAAAAACTTGTGTTCAAAGGAAAACATGGCCTCTTTTACAAATGTTCTTGATCATAGTCATACAAATGTTTTTGTGTTAACCCTTTCATGCATAGTGATCACTACAGTGTACCTCTGTTTAAACTAGCTTTTTTCTATGTATATGCCTTTAAATTCTGGGAACTTATGCATTTAGTCCAATCTAGTGGAAACTATTGCATCATACCATACTGAAAAATCTCATTTGTTGATCATTGCAATGGAAAGAAAAGGTCTGTGAAACCAAGATGGCTGACACACAGGGAAAAGACCAAATACCTCTGCTATTTCGGTTCCTAAATTAGAGCAGAGGAACCACCGTTCCATCAGTATAAAATGCATAAAGTACACTTGAGTGGACAGATAAATATTTCATAATCAATCAATCTTTATTCCAGACACAAAAAGGTCCATGGAGAAAAAGAAAAAAAAAGTTAACAATATATATATGTAAAAAAGAGAAAAGTAAAATAAACACGACGTATTCACCGAGTCACAAATAAATGATGACGCCAATGATTCCACAATCTTGAGTAGAGTCTCACCGTACTAAAAACAGGATTTAATAAAATTTCAATTATATTATTGCATGACACAGATACTCTACGCATTTATACATGAGATTCCTGAGCACAGCTGCACATGTGGGAACAGCATTATGCACAAACATATGGCTAGCACTGCTCCATCTAGGCACTTTGAGTAGTAGCCTCATGCCATCATTGTATGCTACATAGAGTTTCTGCAGGCTACTTTTTTTGTATCTTCGCCACAGATGGGCTGTGTAAAATGAAGTACAAAAAGCTTTAAAAAGAGCTATCTTCACAGAGGATGAACACATACCAAACTTTCTGATCAGAGTATTAACTTGTGCATACATCATACGATACTGCCTAAAAATGTCACGGCCATCAGACAGGTCATCAGTTATGTAGTGTCCCAAATATTTAATTTCATTGCATATATTGAGGACATTGCCAGATAAAGAGAAGTCAGGGGTTATCAGATGCTTATCTGCCTTACTTCTAACAATCATAACATTGCTTTTCTTAGCGTTATATTTGATGTCAAAGTCATAACCATATTGGGAACAGACCCTTAGTAGTTGTTGAAGGCCAACACTATATGGGCATAGGATTACCAAATCATCTGCATACATGATGTGATTGATTATGCGGTCACCAACTACACAGCCTGTTTTACAACAATTCAGACGCTTTGATAATTCATCCATGTAGATGTTGAAGAGGTAAGGGGACAGTATACTTCCCTGCCTTACTCCGTTACCAACATTAAACAAATCAGACATTGTGTTACCCCATTTGACAGACATCAGTTGATGACCATACCAGTAGACAAGGATTCTAATTAGATAATTGGGTACACCTCTGCTTTCTAACTTGCAGAACAGTTTTTGGTGATTCACATGATCAAATGCTTTAGAAGCATCATCATAATAGAATAAAGATACGATTATTTTTTCAAACCTTGTTTTATATTCCTAAGGATGTTTAAAAACACTTAGAAGCAGTAAAAAAAATCCTCAGAGTTTCTCATAATTCATGCATGTGAGGGTTAATATGCTGATAGAAGCTTGGCTTCTGCTAGAAAAAATAAAAAAACTCTATTTTATTTCTGATTGTGATGAAGGTAAAATTTTTATTTAAAACTTGTCATTAAATAGACAGAATTGTGCTAATCAGCTTTTACTAAGACCATTCCATCTACCCTATGTGGTGTTAAAATAGTATGCAGTAGTTAGTCACATTAGTTAGAAATCCAGAAGTGAAACACTTTTTTGTACAGCCACATGGGGGTGCTGTTGTATTACTTTATATTTAATTCTTCTGTGATATTTGTCCACCTCTGATTCAAAGCTTTTAAAGGAACATATGCATTCATCTTGAACCATGTTTTTACAGTAGGGATGAACACAGATATACTAAGTGTACATCGTACATCTCTCTTCTGTAAACAGTTGCACTGCAAGAAAATAATTTCCCCTAAGGGGCTAATAAAGTACTTCTGATTTCTGCATCAGAAAGCAGAAGCTTGTTTTTCAAAAAAATGTTTTTTTTCCTTCTTCTCTTTTTATTTTTATTTTAGAGGATTATCCAGAAGGTACCTGGTTGGGAGATGAAAACAACTCCGAGATGAGGGTCCGCTGCCCAATTTCTCCATCTGACATGCTTTATATCAGCACAAACTGCCGCACAGCAGAGAAAATGGCCCTGACTCTGTTGGACTACTTATTTCACCGGGAGGTCCAGGCAATGTCAAACCTCTCCGGGCAAGGAAAGCATGGAAAGAAGCAGCTAGATCCTCTAATGATCTATGGCATCCGATGTAAGTCGTAAAATGTTGCTGTTTTATTATTCACTTGGGACTGCATCACTTAAATCGACTTTACTTCAAGCAGAAGGTGGAGCAAGTTGTGAGAAAATGTCTATAATGCCTTTCTTTGCATATGTGAGTTGCCCCAATTTGAACAGAAAACTTTTAAATGATTTCATATGCAAAGCTATTACATTTGCAGGTCCATTTGAGCTCCACAATCTTAAAAGATGGCTGTCCAACAGAAAATAGAAACATCTAAGAAGAGATCAAAAGCTAAAAATTAGTCTTTTTTATCTGTTCCAAAGCAGTGCGAATTACAGTCTGTCCGCTCCCAAGCCTGTGTAGGTTTGAACCATCCAAGTACTGACTTTAAATTGAATTAAAGATGAAGAAGGAAGTTCTCTTTTTTAAATTTCCCATCTGCTCTGTCCCTATTAAAGCCAAAAAGCCCCTCTGCATGATGCGAACATCACTATTTCTCACCATTAGTGAAAAATAAGGCAGTGTTCCTTGGTTTTATGGAGGCCAGTTAGGACGCATGAAAAATTACTTAGGATATCCTTTTGTTTTCCTACTAACTTAACTTTGTATCATTTGATTTCGCCTTCCCCCAAGCAAAGGGTTGGGCGTCGTTTGCATTTGAGCAATTCCATATCTTCGTGTCGATTCGGGTCTTTTCGATTTTAGAATCTGATCACAAAAGTTTCCATGTTTTAAATGAGCATGTCTAATGACAGTTCTTTCTGGATGAAATGATCTGAGCCTTTCGATGAACTTCATTCCTTAAATAATCAGCTTTGTTTAAACGTTATTTTAAAATTTCACATAGTTATTTTCAACCAGTATACAAATATCAAACCTATGAACTCAAATATATAAAAAAAAATAAAAATAGGAATTTACTTTTCTAAAAGTTACCCACACGAGCTTTATTGTTGAAAGCCACGTTAAAACACATTTAAACGTATCCATTGTGCAGACACTTAAGCTTTTTAATACCTAATTCTGACTGTGATGCTGGTCAGAGTGTCAGACATGGAATAAAAAGCAGCTGCTTGTGGCAAGGAAGGTATCCCTACAGAGTTATATCCTCACTGAGTGACAACTAGTGATGTTTTATTCCGTGGACAGATGAACAATGAGAATTGGTACCCTGCTTTTCAGTTTATGGCTTTCATCATATGAAACGGGTCCCAAATGAAACTGATCAAGTTCTGCTTATAATGCGTCATCAGTCTGGTAGATCTAGATGAAAGATTTTTTCATTCTATCAGGAAAGTTTAGGAAGTTTGGCCGGTATCTGTAGAAACATCATTTAAAAGGAAGAGAGGATGAAAAAAGCTCTGCTTTATTTGCGAAAGGTTCACCGCTAATGCGGCAGGAGGCATATTACCTCGGGGGGGGGCCTACCTTAGCACGACGCTGGGGCAGAGGGTAAAAACACAAAGCACTTTAATCCTGAGCAGTGTTTAATCATGTCCCATTATTCCTATCACAAGTGTTGCACATAGCTGACTGGTTGTGTCTTTAATTAACATTAAGCCATACTTGATGATTTCACACATTGCAAATTCATCTTTGCTGATATTCATCGGCTTTTTTTCCCACCCAAATTAGGAATCTAATATAAACCTTTTTAAAGATTAAAAGGTTAAACTATTTCCAATCAATTTGCAATTCTCAGCACGCAACTCAGCCTAAAACTTTCTGAATCGGAGCTGTGTCTCGTGTCATCGATGGTTCCATAATCTAAAAATGGCCCAAAACACCCTCTGTTTGATGGTGTTTATTACTAGGACGTAAAAGTAATCCTTGTAAACTCTCTACTGTATGTGGTTTGAATCTGTTTGTTCTTATAGATATAGAGGAATTCTCTGAGGCCTTCCCACACCTCATCCTCTTTGCGTTTCTGAAGCACACATTCGACCCTAACTCCCATAAAGACCGCAGTCTGTATTCCCATGGCGGCTTACAACAACATTCATTCATCATTGGAAGCATGCATTAATGTGCACCACATTTTCGCACGTACTAAACTCTAAATGACATGCTCGTGTCTGGTAGAAAGATGTTACTGGGGTCGCTCTCATTTCTGTAGGTCTTTGAGGAAAATTTAGAGTTAGTATTTACAATCATAGTAGGAGTGCCATCAGCCATAACCTTTTTAGGGGTTTACTCCTGTTTTGAATAATTTTAAGAGAAATATTTATATTTGCAACACTGAGGCATAAAGTAGGAAAGTATTTAACAAATCATATTGATGTATTTTTAATTAAGTTTTGGACACAAAATCCAAAACATGTTGGTTACAAACCAAGTAATCCACTCATCCAGGGGAATTCAAACAAATATATAATAGATAAATTAGTCTATGTTTAGCAACCGGAAATTATTCCAGAGCTAAGTCTGGGAATTTTAGAAGTGCATCCTGCTCTGCATTCACTGGTTTAGTCTATTTATGGCCTGTTTAGTGATTTCTTCATTTCAAAGTGTCACGTTAGAAGTATCTAATAATAGCGAAAGGAATGATCGTTATTGTTTAAAAATCATTCTGATGTCATTGTGTTCAGGTGTTTTTCTGAATATTTGAATATCCCAGTCAGATCCATTTGAGCAATGATCTCTAATAGTATAACAGATTTATTTTTAATTTTATGTTTTCATGAAATCTAGTAATGTAAGCAGTCGCTGTGCTCTCAGTTAACCTTTGCTGTGTGAGACTGCAGCATTTCTAGTGGAAAAAACTCATGGAACCTTTTATTGTCTGCTCTGATGGGAAAAAATAAATTTTATTTATCATCCCACTTACCATGTTTGGAGGACAAAGTGGCACAACTTTGAAGTTTAGTAATAGCTCCCTTTTTTATCTGAAAGAAAGATGAATGGAGGAAATGCACAACGACAGTCTGTTAAGAGAGCATTTCCAGGACTGTCACAATCTGACGTTTTGAACCGAAAGATGGACATTACCCTAGTAGTGGTCTAGGCTCTCAATAAAGAGACGTCTTGAAGTTTTATTAACAAAAAAGGATTTTCTAATTTTGAATTAAATTGAGGGTTTTTTTGGTGGCTCATTCTGTCATTTTACTTTATCTCACATAAATTAGTCATTTGTATGTATTGAGTATTTTTTTTTACTAACTTTTGATGTAAAATGATGCTAATAGCCTCATTAGAAATAATATGTTCCTGTGGAAAAAATATGGATGTGTTGACAACACATTTTCCCTGCGGTTTATCTAAAAGTCCCCTCCTCCCGGACCGCCGCACACCTCTGTGTACAGCACTTGCTGCAGATAAAGATCTGCCTTTTACACCCACTTCAGGCCACTTGACCAGCTGCACAGAGGTGAACTGGAGGACAGGCGTTGCTCGGAATATTTAGTTTTTACTCAGACATTTCTGGTTCTTGTGAGTAACCATGTGCAAACGTTCATGATTTGATTTTTGCATTTCAATATCTCTTATTACACAATCATTGCTTTTTTTATCCCCCCTCTTCCTGACCTCTTTAGTTTTCCATTGATGTAACAAAGATTTTTTTTAATACATTCCTTAATATATTTCTTTTCTATATTTTATGTGTAGATACATGCAGATTTGTTTTGACAGAGAAGTATGTAGAGACAAGAGCAGGGCTGGTTGGCTGTTGGGTGACTCATTATGCCTTGAAGGGAGGAAAAAAAAGAAGAAAATACGAATGAAGGAAACGCTGCCAGGCTTGCCTGTGCAGGACCTATCAGGTGCAGAAAGGGCTGCTGCATGGTGTCATACCAGTACCATCAGATAACCCCACTGTCTCATTTTCTACCCCTGGGTAGTTAATGATTGTAGCTCTTTTGCTAACTTGAATAGAAATGAGCTGTCAGTTGGCCCTCGCCCTCTTAACAATTTATAATGCGGCTCCAGACAGCCAGTCAGTCCACCTGTACATATCCTCATGCAGGGAGATGGAAAAGAGACAGTGAGGCCTGTGTTAACTTGCCAAAAGGTGTGGGGAAGCAAAGGGGACCCAGACAGTGGTTACATTCACTTTTTACGAATGTATGCGTTGGTTACAGAGGAAGCAGCTCCAGTAAAGATACTAACCCTATTTTAGGTTTAGAGACTGAATGAAATTTAGCCTGCAGATCCTTTGGAGGTTTGAAAAAGAGATGCCTGAGTTTACCACATGATTAGAACAAATTAAATGTGTCTGAAATGTTCTATATACTAATAATTTCATAAATTATTAGTTCTGGTAATACATTCAGTTTACCAAAAATGCATTTTTTTGCATACATTAAATGGCTTGAATCTGCTATTAAAGGTCTTAATTGTATTTGTTTTTAGCTTTTATGATATATTTGAAAAGAAATGTGTATGAAAAATGATGTTACAGACATATTTCTGTTCCCCAATAAACACATGGTCAGAATTTATTTATAACAAGCTGAAAAGCTCCTCCTGCCTTAGAGGGAACAGTTATGCTGTTAATCAAGATATTTCAGATTTTTTCGGACAGTAACGGTTGAAATTTCAAACATGGCTGCTTCACTGGCTAAGAAATTGCATTTAAGCCTAATGTGATTTCTTTTTTTCTAGTGTTAAAAAGGTATAGTTTGGAAAGGTGGTTTATGTCAGTCAAAAAGTAGACACATCTTCAGCTTTTATACTCTGTGGTTCTTTTCCAATTGTGCCTAATATTCTGTCCGGTGTTCTGTCAGACCAGCATACCCATAGTCAATACGCACGCGCAAGACGTCAGATTTGCGTTTATCCCTTCAGTTTTGTATGAAAAATAACTTTAAACTACCTCGACGGGTGTGTATCCCTATAGTTATGTAAAAAATAAAAAAAAAATTTAAGGTCAAATGGCCATGCTTCAAAAACTAAGTAATTAAATAGTTTTTTTTGTACATGACTAAAGAGATAAATACTCGTTGAAGTAGTTTAAAGTGTATTTTTTGTACAAAACTAAAGGAATAAATGGGTATTAACCATGGGTATGCTGGTCTGACCTGGTATGACCTGGTATGCTCATCTGACAGAACACCGGCTCCAGGGGGGCGTGTATGGCACAAAAACGCAAGCTCACAACACATTACATCAGGAAGTAAAAAACACAGCTGTTTACAACTTTTTTTAAAGTCTCTTCCTGCTATTTAAGAGTAGCAAGTGCTAATATTTTGATCATAGTGATATTTATGTGCTGCCTCACAAGATGTCTAGAAGTTTATATTTGCACACCGTCAAGGAGCTGTCTTTGTCCACCATGTTTTCCCCGGGTGACAGAGAATTTTGCACAGGCAGCTTCTATAAAATTTAATAGCCAGATATCTAAAATCAGATTCTTTAGAACAGGCACCTATAGTACAACCGTCACTTAATTAGTAGCGTGACCAACATGCACCTCTTTTTCTCAGGCCACTTGTTCCACAAATTTGGCATCTCTGAATCTGACTGGTACCGGATCAAACAGAGCATCGATTCCAAGTGTCGCACCGCCTGGAGACGCAAGCAGCGTGGCCAGAGTCTGGCAGTCAAGAGCTTTTCCAAACGAACTCCCCGCAGTACGGTGGCAGGTAAAAACAGAGAGCTCAGACGTTTGTACAACTGTCATTTTTTTTTAATCTTTTATTTTTTTTTTTTTATGGCATGAAATAAAAAACTGCTTTTGAAACCCAATGGTGAAAAAAATGGACACAATAATGGGAACATGGATCCAAAGTTAATTACTGACATACATTTATGTGAAAAAATACATGCCGGTTGTTTTGTTTGTATTGAAAAATATAAAGACAGTCAGTGAATGTAAATACAGCGTTTCTTATTTCTTACATAAAAGCAGCTCTGCAATCAGAACTCGAGGTGCCCCTGCAGCTGTTTACAATCGACACACAAAGCATTCTGTACTCCCCTCTTCCTGTGAGTTATCACCTCTCACCTCTGACCAGAGAAGCGCAGCACTGCAGAGGAAAGCTACATATCCTGTTAGCACACACTACCTTAGGGGCGGATAGTCCGGCCCTGCCTTTACAAGCCATGCGCACCCTAGAGTATACAAGACTCAGATGATGCATCTGTCAGCACACACACACACACACACACACACACACACACACACACACACACACACACACACACACACACACACACACACACACACACACACACACACAGAGGAACCAAACAGTCATTGGGTTTTACTTTAAATTAATTGGAAAAAAAGAGGCTTTTCTTTGCATTAAACAAACTCATTGGCTTTAGTCAGCCACAGGGGTTTGTATCCCTCATCACTTAGATAAAGCACTTAAAAAAATATTTATGATTCACCACACATCTGTGATAATGAAAGATAAGAGGGAGTGTTAATCTTTGAAATGTCTGCATAATGCGGTGATGTTTATGGGGAATACAAAAGTGGCTATATTACAATAAGGCAGTCTGGCTTCACCTAAAAGTAATGATAGCTTTCCCCCCCCCTCTTTTTTTTAGCTTTTATTGGCCATTTTTCTACCTTGTATAATTTTTTTTGTAAGATAAAGAGCCTTTTTGGAGGTTCCTTGCTAGAGCTAGCTTTATGTCTATCAGGAAATGAAGGAACTACTGGAATGTTCACATTTATGCATTAAAGCACATGAACCTCACCTCTATCGGATTGTTACTGAACTCACGGTACATATAAGTTCCAGCTGACGATTGATGTGTGAGGAATGTTGAAGCCTTTGATGCATTGAAACAGGAATAAAATCCAGATCTTTAGTATTTGTCTTGCTGATCTGATGAAAGAGGATCGAGTGGAAATAGGCGACTGATGTCTGCATCTCTAGATGAACCCAGAAGTTGTTCAGTCTGAGCTGTGATGGTTGTTGTTAGACTATAAATTTGGTTTAATCTTAAATTAAAACCAAATAGCTTTTATTATTTTTGAATACAAACAAGGCATCAGCGAGCAGATAACCTAGAAATTTAGTAAATATATAAAGTCTTGCTCTTTTATACAACTTGTATATGATTAATTATCCTGAGCTGTTTTACCCACAGTGTTATGAAGTTAAACTTTAATTCACCCTTTGCCTCTTTGATGCAGAGGATGGTGTCTCGGATGAAGCTGCTCATTTAGAGGCCGCCACCCAGCAGACCCTGCATTACACGCTGGCCAATCAGCAGGTCCAGTTCCATCGCATTGGTGAAGACGGGCAGGTTCAGGTGGTGCGTATCTCATCTCTTATTCACTTCTAAACCACAAAGAAGCATTTGCTTGGTTTCAAAACAAAAGATTTCTCTATTAGCCTCTAAACATTGGCTTCTATCCTGATTTTTCCTTTGCTTACTAATATCATCTCCCACACCCTGGGTTTAAGTTTCATTTAAGGGTCCCACAGAGCATGAGTCATGCTGCTATGGGATGCTTCATACCACCCACTACATTGGGGCTGGAGAAATATTAACCAACCTATAAACTAATGAAAGACTAACGGATGCTGAATGATGGAAGGGCCATTAACAGATGCTGTGGTCAAAGGTCACATTCAGGCCCACTACAGCTTATGGGTGGATTGTTCCAAGAGAAAGGAACCAAACTCGGCTCGTCTTCAAAAGAATTCAAGTTAAACCAACTCTTGAGCTGCAATAACAGAGAGATCCAAGGCCTGCATCGATACCAGAAATCTTCTAGTTAGCTCTGAGTATTTCCTTCCTCATCAGGTATAGAAAAATGAGAAGACACCCAAAATGGCTATAACACTCAGGAAGATCATGCTAGTGCTGCACGATTATGCTGTGCAACTATGTAATCGCATAAAAGACAAATTTTGTAAAACAAATATGCATGTGTGGGCCCGTGAACAGGGTTCTCTCTTAAAAACACTGTAGGTATAGTCATGTGACAACTAAACTATTTTAGATTTCAATTTTGATGAAAGTCATGAAAAAATGGGAAAAAAAACATGTCTCTGACTTACACACCCGACAACATAGTTAACAACTAGTTTAACAACATACAACATTCACACACACACAAGGAGATAGGAGAGGTTCAGTTGTGTTTTTGATTCTTCTCTTTCACAGAAAATGCAGTAAAAAGTGAGTTTCATCCAACCCAAAAGGCTATTGGAACATGCAGAAAGCCTGTAGGCCCCCTTTTCCCATAGCTGGAAGAAGCTTCTAACTCTCTCTGCTGTTCTTGATATTCAAGCACGCAACTCATGACACCATTCATTTATAATTTCGTAATTGCAATCGCAATATAGTCCACAATAATTGCAATCACACATTTTCATCAAATCGTGCAGCACTGCATGATGCTTCATAAACTAAACAGAAATTCTCCTTTTAAAAAACAACACACAGATTTTACTTTCTGATAAAACAGTTGCAGGTAGAAATAAAGCTAATGTTGCTATGCTGGTGTTCTGTCTGGTAGACAAACCTGCTCAGAATAGCATACTGGGAGTTCTCTGTCAGTTCAGAGGTCTTTATAAAAAGTTATAGGTGTTTATGAAGGAGTTTCACTCTGATTTAGGTAAATACAGTTTATGGAGTTGTATGCCGTTTTGATAGAGGCTATAAACTCTTAAGCCATATTGAACGATTTAAGATAACATTCAATGATTTTACAAACTCACTCCAGGAGAAAATCATACAAAAAAGTCTGGGCTATATATATATATATATTTTTAAGTTCACTGCATGTAATTAAGTGAATAATGATTAAAACATGATATAATATAGAAAAACATAACGAAGACAGTCAGTGGTATGCTGGAATGATAGCTTGAAACTTAAGCATGAGCAATGCGTGCTATTTTCTGCTAGAGAGCATAGTTTCGCTCTTATTTCTTTTAAATCGTTGTGATTAAACATCAAATCAGCCTGAGACCATTATACTACCACCGCCGTGTGTTACTGTCTGTACTATAACCTGATTCTGAAATGCTGAATGTAAGGCAAGGCAAGATTTTTTTCAAAGTTTTGGTGGTCATCTAGTGAAGCCGTTCCCAAAAATAGTACCTGAATGTTCTCATGACCCAAACTATTGGTTGGAGTACATTACATTAATACAACATTCCTGGAAAAAACAATGACCCCAACTTTGGATCTAGAGCTTCAGTTTTTCCGTAAAAATTCAAAAAATATCCACTGGACTTGGTTTCCAAGATTTGAAGACTTTTCGCCACTTCTCCAGGAAGCTTTTTCAATTCAAATGTCTGGATCCGCAGTGAATTTGAGTCTTATATAGACAAAGCCTTGTATCGCTTGGAAACATGCAAATGGTTACCGATGAATTCATCGCCACCTCTCCAGCTTCCTGGAGAGGTGGCGAAACGTCTTCAAATCTTGGAAACCAAGTCCAGTGGATATTTTTTGAATTTTTACGGAATGACTATGACCTGGATGACGGTTTTTCCACCGACCCTGAATTTTTTAACCAAGGCATGCAGAGGGTTAGATGTTGCTCCGGGTTCTTTTGTAACCTCCTGGACGACTCATTTGTGCGGTTATGAAGTAATTTTGTTAGGTCAGACACTCATGGGAAGGTTAACCACTGTTTCATTTTTTCTTTTTCTAATGGGTCACTATGGTTACTGGAGGCCTTAGAAAATCAATTTTCATTTTGTTCTCATATGTGGAATTTCTTTATGTTGGTGGATGTCATTTTACAGTATTTATTTTCTGTCTTTTTTTTTTTTTACTTTATCATGTATCTCTTTACTAAAATGCTCAAGTCTTCCTTCATGTGTCTCAGATTCCACAGGGACAGCTTCACATCGCTCAGGTGCCACAAGGAGAGGAGGTGCAGATCACACAGGACAGCGAGGCAAGTTTTTATCAATGCATGTGTAGAAAAGTTGGAAACAGCAGACAGATGTTACGTCTGGTCATCAATATTTATCCATCTCATTGCCCATTTTTTATTAAAAGTTTAACATGTTTATTACACTTTTGTTATGCATGTTAGGCTGGTTAGAAGTCCAACTATTGAAGTCTATAGTCTTCTTTTAATGGTAGCTTTCCCTTTAAACCAGCTTTTCTTATCCTTATTTTTAGAAAACCCCTTTAAAATTTATGGAAGGGAAATATTAAATCTTTCCACAATTTTATTGTTAACAGACTTTTAGATGGCATATTTAACTTTAAAATTTAATTCAAATGTAAACCTAGCATCTATGTTAGTTAAGCAAAGAAACAAGTTTTATAGTTTTTTTTTTTTTTTGAGCACACTAAGCTCTGTTAAGCTAGAGAAAACCATATTGAGGCCTGGTGAATGTATCTTTCAAGTAATAATCCGTTTTTTATGAATGCTTAATCATAATGTGGAACAACTTGAATAAGTATACCCATGAAAAGGAAATCAATTAGTTGGAGTCTTTAACTACTAGATTATGTATTCACCCTTTAAGCCATTTGAAAGTTATTCATGTTGGTCCATGTAAACAAATTCTAAATACATTAAAGCCAACAAAATGACCTCAGGTCAGGATCATTCTGAACCCTTTTTCATATTTTCTTACATTGCAAACCTTAAACTTAGTTGTATTTTATCCAGATTTTAATATGAAGCAGTAAAAAAGAATAGAGTGGTTGTTCATTTGCGAGAAAATCAATCAAATCAATCAATCAAAATCAAATCATAATTTTAAAAATTAGAAATATTTGAAAAATGTCTTTCATCCCCACCAGATCAGTACTTTGTAGAATCACCTTTAACCTCAATTCCAGCTGCAGGTCTTTTGCTACGTGTCTCTACAAGTTTTGCACATCTTAAGAACAACATATATTTTTTGTTTTGGGTTTTTTTCCCCTTAAAGATAACCAGAACTCAAAACATTTGGATGGATGTAATGGTGTGCCATCCTCTTTCCATTTTCAAATGGTTCGATCGGAGCTCTGTGAAATCTCCACAGCTTAGTACATTTATTTTTTTTTTTTATTCTTCTTCCTAATGCGCTAATGTTCTTTTTAACAATCCTCTGATTCCTAAAGAGCACAGCAGGCATTAAATACCACTCTATGTTTCTGAACTGCTTTTTTTCTTTGAGGAATTAGTTTAAAGAGAGATAAACATCTGCAACACCTTAAGTGTTCTTCTTGTTAAAAAGAAAAAATAACATATTTGATCCAAATTTCCCTTATATCATGCATCACTTAATGTTGTTCCATCCAAGCATGTCCAATACAATAAAGCTTGAAGCTGCAGCCTTCAAAGGTAAAACCATTCAAGGGGTTTGATTACTTTTGCAAGGCACTGTAAAGCTGAACTTTTTTCCTTTAAAAAAAAAAACATATTTATCCAGAATTTGGCAGCTTCTGCAGATTTCTGTTTCTGCTTAATGCTCAGGTGACTCATCATCCCCCCCATCAGACATCACAGCATGAACACACAGCCTGCCACTTAAAATCATATTTTACCCCCAAACCACACAAGCTGCCGGAGAAAAATTCCTGCATCAGCATTGCTCTTAATGATTTTTACAAGGCTGTGGGAGAAAGATTCATTTCATGGCGCCACTCTGTATACACAGTCATACATGTAATCAAATACTTAACATGATACATGTAGTACATGGGTGACAGCTTGACATTTGTGAAAAAAGCAATTGACACTTCAACCAAGTGTTTTTCTCATTTCCTGTGCAGTAATGGTGCTAAAGGAGCTTCGGTGAGAAACGCGAAACAGAGCGAGGCAGACACAATAAATTGGAGGCAGAAAAACCTCTAAAGCTTTTCCTGCTCTTTGTGGCTGAGCCCAGATTTATTTTTTTTCCCTCTTCCGTCCTTCCTATTTCAAGATATTATTTGTTTTTTCAGAGTTCAAAGCTTAGCAACAAAATCCCAGTTCTGCCAGCTGCCACTCACAGAATATGTTTTCATTAGGAACGGGCCTCTTTCATCAAAGACGTTGGTTTGAGCGTGCATAAAAAGGAAATGAACTGCCTCGGAGACTACGGCTCTCTGGACATGTGGAAGCACAGACAGAGTTGCATGTGTACATGAATACAATTAGCAGAGAGATGAAGAAGAAAAAAAAAAACAGCTGAGAATGTAGGTTTTGTTTTCATATGTTTTTGTTAACGTGATTGTGGCCGTCCAGAGGTTTTATAATGGTTACAGTGTCATGAGCAGATTATTTTTGTTTACAGAAGCCTTGATGTAGCCAGAAATAATACAGTCGCTGACATCAATACAAGGGCATGTCATTCGCTTCTCATTATGAACCGTGTAAACACTGCCAGCGTCTCGGCACACGGAAACAGAGCTGTCCTATCTTGCAGCGGTAGGCCAAAAAAAACAGATTTGGTGCCTTTTAGCTCTCAATGATAGATTTTTAAACTTAGTTCCTAAGAAACGTACAGATTTGGCATTGTTCTTTTGTTTGGAATCACTTTTTTTACCCTTGATTTCTTGTTTTTAGGGAAACCTCCAGATTCATCAGGTGCACGTCGGTCAGGATGGACAGGTAAGAATCAAACCAGGTCACAAAAGACTCATTATTCATCGTTTCTCCTTCCATTCTACTTTTGTTATGAAATGAATCCTTACGTCCAACATTTACAATAGGCGTCAAAGCTTCAGAATGGAAAACTCACAACACATTAGGATGATGAGCATCCTAGGGAAGTTTCTGCACTCTGGTACATTACCTTGTGCTTTAAGAAACGCAGAGTTATTCAGTACATGGCACATTAAACAAAGCCATCATAAAATAATTTTAAATGCTTTTATTTTTTGTTTTTCCCAAGAACTTCTATTTAATGAATCCATATCTTATACCAACAGTTTGTGCGTGAATGTCTGAATGTGGTGTAAAGCACTTTGGTCAAGTCCCATGACTTGAAAAAGCACTATAGAGGTACAAGCTATTTGACATTTACCAATTACATTGCAAAATCACAAGAACTGCAGCAAAGATGAGGTTTTCCTGGCTCATCCAATCCCATTTAAAAAGCATTTAAACAAATAACAAAAAAAACCTTTGCTGACAAAGCTCAGTTGATACTTCTACCACATTTTATGCTTTAGTTTGAAGAAGCTAAGCTTAAGCTTAATGTCAACAAGCACCACTGCTGTATCTGACCTCAAAAAAAAGCTGGGATGTGGGGAAATTCATTCTCAAGTGCGGTGGGCCGGTCGGTCATGTTAAGTCCACAGGAGCCTTGTTAAAGTACAAATCATGTTTGACCAAATCAATGTCAAATAGGCCTCAGTTGTTTAACTATCTACACCTAAAGCACAAGATAAAGGATTCTTCCTCTGTTGTCCTGTTGGAAAAAGGGTAGATATAAAAGATGCTGGCAGGAACAGTTGTACCACTACTGATTCAGTTCAATCCAATCCACTCCACTTTATTTATATAGCACGATTTCAATAAACAAAAGGTTTTCAAAGTGCTGCGCAAAAGGATAAAATAACTAAAATAAATAAAAGTAAATAAAATAAAATAAAAGCACTGCCCGCACAGGATAAAAATATGCATGTGTATACATAAAATCAACACTCTACAAGGTGTCAAAAGCCAAAGAAAAGAGGTGGGTTTTAAGAAGAGTTTTAAAATGAGACAAAGAGGTGGCCTGTCTAATGTGCAGTGGCAATCCCTTCCAAAGTTTTGGAGCTGCAACAGTTAAAAACTATTAAGTCTGAATGTGTTTTTAAAATGAAATATATGTTTCTAAACATATGTTTCAACATATATTTCAGGGTATGTTTCACTGCAGATAAGCAGGACATCTTGAATTGAATTGGACTTTTTTTTTGTAATAGAAAAGATCTGGGGTCTAATATAGAAAACTGCCTATGATCCGTGCTAAAAGTTTATTTACGCCAAACATTGCAAAATGCCGTACATCCCAAAACAATGCAGACCACCTCTCTTTCTTTCCATACTCTACATGTATGTGTCCCTGAGCTGCAGTACAGTTGATCTAATTAATTAGATTTTAAAATGATCATTAGAAACCATGCAAAAAGAGAACATCAGACAGAGATGGAAAAACTTCCAGTTTTTTATAGTAGCATAGACAATGGTAGGTAGACTATTTTTCTTTTGCTAGCCAATCTTCATCAAATGTTGAGATAACTACAGGTATTAATAGGATAACAGTTATACTTACATTTAACTTGTTCACTTTTTTCAAGAAATACAAAAATTCAAAAGGACTTGAAACCCAAAGTTTGAGTTTTGAGTTTTAGGCCCCGTCCACACGAAGTCAAACCCTGGCCTAAACGCACAAATTTTTCATCAAACCAGCCTCTCATCCATACGAAGCCGGCGTTTCGGGGGTCTGTAAACGATCTTTTTTTTATTAAGCCTTCAGAGTGGGAAGATTTTGAAATGCCGTTTTCGCGTTTCCATCTTTAAGCTCTAACTGCATTTTTTTTTTTTACACGCATAGCTTAGCATAGCTTCTTATAGCATAGCGTCGCCTCTAAACACGCATGCGCGACACAGTATCACAACAACAATGGCGCCGTACTGTGTTGAATGGTTGCTGCTCATGCTACTCACCCTGCTGTCGGGCTTACAACAGAATCTTCTTCTTCTGGAATATCTCCAGGAAGAACAGAGCAATATCGACGACATAGTTTATCACCTCAATTTGACTGAACCACGAAAATGGACCCGCAGGGCCATTTTCCGGTTTTCCGGTTTTCCGGTTTGTTTGTTGTATAAATATTACTGCGCATGCCCAACATTACGTTGCCTGTTTTCACCTATTTTTGCTTTGGCACCACAGCGCCACTTACAGGCCTGGCATACATTTTGCAGCGTTTTCATGCATTCGTGTGGTCGATCACATTTATTTTACGTCTCCGTCTTTACGACAAACGTTCTGGAAAATATTAGCGTTTCGTGTTCGTTTTGACTTTGTGTGGACGGGGCCTTATTTGAGATTTCCAAAACAGTGACTTGGTTCCACCTCTGCTGTTAAACCTGAAATGATAATAATTTACTATTTGAACCTATGAGCAAAGTTTCTCTTCTCCCTAGTCAAAGATCAGAGTTTTTCTTTCATAGCTCACTGGGACAACTATTGCTAGTCACATGTGGATGCATAGAGACTGCTATAATTCACATTCATGATTTGATCCTGTTTGTCTAGAGAGAGGGCTTTAGGGGAGGAAGTCTTTTCTCACGCTGGTCGTCTGCTGCCTCCGCTGTTTTGCTTTATTTTGCCAAACAGGTGTTTTATGTAACAGCTGAACAACATCTTTTTTGTTATTTGTTGTTTTCTGATACTTCATATATTCTCTGTAGAATTCATTATGAAATAAAAAATGTGTAGAAGTTTATAACCTCTGTATGTTTCCTATTAGGCACGTTTTATTTTTGTTAAGGATGAGCATTATAATGACATTCAAGTGGAGGTTCTCTCCAGTGCTGGATTAAGTTAATGACCACTTCCCTTTAGTATGCGAGAGCTTTTTGCATGAGAAGAGCTGAAACCACCCAATACTAGAGTCACACACTTTTAAACTGAGAGTTCCTCATTTTATTGGCCTTTTAAGATCTCTATCATTATGTTTTCTTATAGGTTCAAGATGCTATAAGCTTTGCACACATTTGTGATGTGTGAATGCATCTGCTTTATATAAGGGATTTTGTTGTTGTTTGTGCTCTTTACTGGCTGTTTAGCTCCGCGTGTGTTTTCAATTGATTGAGGTAGTCACCACACATCCTGCAGCTCCCCCTCTCTCACACGCTCAATCACACATGCATGGTGGTGTCCTGGAATGACCTGCTCCCTTAGCCTGATGGCAGCATTCCTCCGCGTCTCATGCTCCCTCTCTTTTTCTCTCTCTAGGATCTCGACCAATTTTTGAAGTCAAATTTGGTTTGGATCTGACGCTCATTTCCAAATACTCTTGGGTTCACGAACTACATGTACCCATTGAATGATTTCCATTATCTCTGTCAGATTAAGCTGCTTAGTGTGGCATATGCTTTGACATCGGGCCTGCATGTGTTTACAAGTTAAAGTATTTATATGTTAATTGGCTAAAGTAAGACTTTTAAGCTCCCTAAAAGTATGAGAACTAGATCCCTGTATCAACACCAAATTTCCCAAGGCAGTGTTTGGAAGCTTACTCCAATTGAATGCTCCTTTCTTTCTTCTTTTTTTCTTTGTGTTTGTGTTGGCCATAAGCTAATATGACTCCGTAAAATCCATCCAGAGTGTCCCACTCTTTCAACTATTTAGCACAACAATGGCAGTCTCTCTGCTCTCATATTCTCATGGACCAGAGGGCAGGAATAATCTAAGGACAGCCCTTAAATCAGATTAAACCCAGATAGGTCACCATGACATCCACAGGAAACGGAGATAAGCAAGCATGATCGTAGCTTTAGAGTTTAATCAAGTAGATAAGGCACTGATCAAATCTTTTGTGTACTGCATAGTAATGAAATATTTTGGTTCTATTAGGATAGCTGTTGTGTGTCTTGGAAAAGAGCTCATTGAAACCCTCTACGAAACATAATAATCAAACGGGATTCCGATCTGCTACTCCTTGGATGTTTTGATTTATTTGTTTTACATTTAGGCATGAAGTCACTGTTTTTGTAATAGGCAAATAGTTCTGGCTATGTTGGCGTAGCTTCGCCTACACAGTTCATTACGCCCCAAAGCTTTTTCTCTCTCTTCTCTGGGTTTGTTTCTTCCTCATTATTAAAAGTTTCCTGTGGTGTAGCTGTGGTTACACCTGTTTTTTTAAAGCTCACCTGTCGCTAATAATCACTCCTGGTTACATTTACTATCAAATGGTTTCCCTCACAGGTTGATTGCTGACCGCTCTGAGAAATGTTGCCTAAAAAATCATTGCCAACAAGTTTGAGGGGTAAAGTTTTAGTAGTTTCTCACAGATGGCTTTAAATAGTGGGCTCCTTCAGGGGTTTTGCAACTTGCACGTATGCTCCTCAGTTGTCTGCATCTTGCTTCTTTTTTTTTCTGTCTCTGCAGTGTTTTTCTCACTGATATCAAGTATAAAAATACACACACGCAAGCTTTCCTCTGCTGGATCAAGATAATTTATGGAGATGCTATGTGACTTTTATTTGACTGCATCTTTCAAGTTGTGTCAGATGTCAGATTAAGGTGTTTTGTTGTAACATCAGAGATGGCTCCAAACCAGGCTTTTAAGGTCTTTGAAGCTTCAGTATGGGGAGACTGATTTAATAATTACAAGTAATTACATCTTGTGTGTTGGTACCAAATCAGTCCCATTGTCTTTCTTTTCTTTTTTTACTTGTAGTGCATTCAAGTACCCTGCAAATACCTTGTGCTGCCAACAGACTGTATCAGCTGTTTAAAACTAAATGAATGCTTGGCTTTATGTAGAAAATTTACTAATATAAGGGAAGTACAAACTTTTAGATTTTGGCTGTTTAAAACTCCCTAATTTGGATTTCATTAAAATATGGTTGAGATATTTAGGTTAATGTCCTTTTAGCTAATCTTTTAA